GGAAGGGGCTGCTCTGGTCAGCACCAGGTCCTGTGCCGACGCTCCTCAGTTCACCACGGCTGAGCTGGCCATGGCGTTCACGCCACAGGCCCCGGACCCACGATACAAGTAGTAGTAACCCTGGCAGAGAGGCAGGGGAGCTGGTAAGGGCATTAGGGCAGGATGGGAGCTGGAGAGCCACGGCCAAGGGGACAAGACTCACCTCCTCACCCCAGTCAGTGCCCCAACTGTTCTTGATGGCCCAGAAGGGGATGCCAGAGCCTGAGGAGCAGGGCAGAGGGCAAGGAGTCAGGGCCCCCAGCACTTGGCCCTCTCCCAGTATCTGCTGTAGCCTACTGTGACAGACACTAGGAAAAGAGCAGAAAACAAGACAGGCCCACACCTGCCACCCTCCTGGTACGGCTCAGGGGTTGGGGGAGGGCACCCGGCCGTCTTCCTCTGGCAGATTATTCATCTGTAACAGTTCAGTTCAACCTTCCACTACCTCAGCTTTGCCATCCACAGAAGGGACGGAGGGCTCCTGCCTGGCCCGTGGCCCAAAGCAGGAGTAGGACAGGGTTCCTAGGCATTCCCTCAATTTCCCCCTCCAAAGGCCCTGAGCTGCTGTGGTCCAATCTCTGCCTGTAGCTGGGGCGGATGGGCAGAGAGGGCGTCAGTGGAACTCACGGTTGCCGTAGCCCACGAGCAGCACTGCATGGTCGATGAGCCAGGGGCTGCAGAGGGGCCGCAGTGGGTGGGAGATCCCGCGGCGGTAGAACTGGGGCGGGGGGGGGGGGGGGCAAGAAGGCGAGAATAAGGAGTAGGGAGCCAACTCCAAGGAGAAGTGGGAAAGGAGTCAGCACGAGACAGGCAAGAGACAGGGACCTTACCTGCATGCCAAAGGCATTGATGGCAACGGAGATGGGGCCCTTCTTGGCCAGCCAGGCCGCCAGCTCTGAGACGGGGAGGGACAGCATCAGGGACACACAGGCCCCAGCCCCACCTGGCCTGTCCCTACCCTGTCCCTTACTCACTCTCCTCATTCTGGCTCAGCTCTACCGAGTCGTTGATGTAGACCTTGGCCTTCTTTGCAGAGAAACTGCAGGTCTGCAAGTGGCCACTGTAGCTGTAGTCATCCTCTGTCTCCAGCCCTCCTAGGGAATGGTGGGGGTGGGGTGGGGAGGGGAGAGAAAAGGTGGACCCCCGTTTACCATACACTTGTCTTCTGGCCAGGAGCTATAATCAGCCCCTTATATGTGAGGTCTCAAGGTCCTCATCCATCCCAGACCAAGGCCATGCCCTCTGAACAACAGCCTCTCTCTAGAGATGACAAAACAGAGACTAAGCGGGATGGGGGAGTAACCAGCAAGAAATGTGGCTAAGATGGAACTCAATTCCCAACTTCTGTTCTTTATTCATCCTGGCATTCCTGGGACTCTTCACCATGGCTTGCTTGTCCTGCTCAGACAGTCTGTTCCCAATTTGGTCCAGACACCTGCCAGGTCCCCAGTCTCTGTACAGCCACCTCAGTCCCTCAGCCCCTCATCCTCGTGCCACTGCAGCCCACCCCCAAACTGAATTGCCAGTTTAATACCTCTTCTAAAGGGTGAGGTGTGTGCTACTTGGTTTAGTGGTATTACGGAAATACAGACCTCCAAGCAGCAAAAACACCAAGAACCCCTGCTATGTACCAGAAACTTTATGTATATTTCCTCACTTGATACTCAAGGCAATCCTATGAAGTGAACAAGATCATCCCCATTTCACAGATGAGGCAACCGAGGCTCTCAAAGAGCTGACTTGCTCAAGGTCTTTGTTAAGGGCCAGCATTAAGACCTGAACCCAGTTCACATGACTTCCATGCTCATATATCTCCCCCTCACAAAGTGACTTCTTTTGGAGGGAAAAGTGGCTCCCACTGCCCATCCTGATCCCATGAATGCATACCCAGATTCTTTATGGCCAAGTAGGCGTTGGAGGGCAAGCCACCCAGGCAGGCCTTGTCCACCTTGTCACAGTCCAAGAGCTCTAGGAGACAGAAGGCTGGTCCTGAGGAGCCCTCTGGAGGGGCTGGGCTGGGGACAGGAATGTAGAGTGGGATGCTCACCCTGCTCAGAGAGGGAGAGCAGGTCCCCCTGTTTTAGGAACCACTGGCCCTCCACATTGCCGGTGACTGAGAAGGCCCAGCAGGAGCCACACATGCCCTGCAAGATACGGACAAAGTCAGGGCTGGGTCCCTTCCCAACCCCAAGGCAGCCTTCATGTCCCACCATTGCTTCTTAGGGGTCCAACCTGATTCTTGACGTTGGTGACAGCCCCCTTGGTCCTCCAGTCCCACTCAGGTGGGGCATGGTCACCAATGGATTTGGCTAGATGCATCATCTTGTTGCGGTTCTCTTTTAGGAGAGGATTCAGATAGATGGTGCGGAACTCCTCCTCTGTGGGCAAAGGTGGGCAGGGGATGGCGGGGAAAAGTATTAGGCAGCCCTGATCCGGGGCTGTGGGAGTAGGCCCTGACTCTTTCAGGCTCCACGAGAGCTCTGGCCACCACTTCTACCTGTAAGGTCACTGAACTTGGTGATCCCATACTGAGCTGTGCCACGGTCCAGTGCCTGGATCTTCTGCGCTCGGACCATGTTGTTGGAAAAGACAGACATGCGCCACTGGGCTTCTGAGAACCAAGGAGCAGGAGAGGAAAGTCTCAGACCCCAGGCAGATCATAAAAGGAGGGGCACTAGGACTAACTGGCACTTGTTGCCCTTGGGAGGAGGTGGGCTCAGGATCAGGCCTGAAGCTCTTTTTAAGGACAGACCCTGGGGAGGGCTGGAGGTGAGGGGAGGCGCAGACCCACAAGCGATGAGCAGGAGGTGTGATCAACTTTGGGGGTAACGCTGGTAGCATCTTAGGAGTGAAGGCAGAACCAAAATGGTCTCCTAAGGGCATCCTTAGATAGGAGATCATGGGGAACGGCTACCATGCCAGGGAAGCGGGGGCACCAGCAGAGAAAATCTGGTCTTTGCCCCATTCCACTCTATCCAGAATGATAAAGGCCCATGCTTTCTGACCAGGAAAATTAGATGGGAGAAGGGACCAGGTACCTGAGGTAGCTGTCCAGTCCTGGAAGGGTGGGCAAGAACTTGGGGACTTAGGGGTCTCTGAAAGGAGGCACTGCCTCTTGTGTCCTTCCCCTTCCCAACACCAAGATACCAAGTGGGGGGAGGGGAATGTCCTGATCTGATTGGGACAGGTACAGCCAAGGCTGGGTCCTCACCTTCCTGTGTCCCATATGTCCGATTATAGGTGGTAACAAACTCCTTGAAGACTGAAGCCATCTTCACAGAAAAATCCTGGAAAGGCACAGGGGTCTTCACAAGGAGTCCTTCTCAGTTGACCAGGGAGCCCAGGCCAGGGTGAGGGAAAGGGGGGGGGGGGGGGGTAAATAAAGCAGCAGCCAACTTCCTACATGGAAATCGGTTCCTCACCTGGGGTAGGGGGTCCTTGTTCAACAGTGGAAGGACTGAACTTAAAGTCTCATTTCTGTCATCTGAATGGGGTTGGAACAGAGGAGAAATCAAGGCTGAACCCTGAGTGAAGTCTTATCTGACCTATGCCAGTATCCTTGGGCTATCCCAGCACCTGTAACCTTGGTATCCACTTGGCCACAGTCCCGCCTCAGCAGCATGTGTTTTCCCAGCTCATCCAGGACTTGAAAGCTGCAGAGCTGGAGGGAGAGGAGGAAGCGAGTCTGGGGGCTGGTATGGGAACAAGGCCTTGGCAAGATGCAGCTGGAAGGTCCCCAGGTGAAGACCGCCTCCAAGGCAACCACCCCCACAGTGTAGAGTGAGGCACACCCAGCACCCTCTCACCACCACCCCCTTTTAGAGCATTTCAGTCTCTAGCCCTCAGGGCCTGTGAAGTGACTCAACGCTGGATAGTTGGTGCCTCTCATCCCTTCCCCTTGACTTGACCCAGACGCATTGTGGGGGCGGGGAATTATAGGAGCCCCGTCACTCACCAGGGTTTTCTTGGACGCCGGGAGCTGGCACACCGTGGGGTCGTTGCAGGGAGGCTCCTCCAGGGTCGCCTTCAGGGAGTACAGGGACCCCTCGCCCGCCTGGATGGAGGGGCGGGTGAAGTAGGCACATCCATTCCCTCCTCAGCCCGTCCTTCCCACAACCCCGCCGTACCCCCTTCTCTTTCCCCGATTACCAGAGGTTCGTCTCTCGGGCGTCCAGCGCCCACACCCCTGGTCCAGACCAAAGTTGCCAACCCACTGACCGGGGCCCCGCGCACCCGCACTGGGGAGCCCCCGCCCCCGGCGCGTCCTCACCCGGCGGACGCGACCGCGCACGGCCCCCAGCGCCGCCCGCGTCCCGGCAGCCCGGCCACGGTTGTACATCTCCAGGGCGAAGCGGGCGGGCCCCAGTAGCTCCGGGTACGCCGCCTCCCGGGCCCGAGCATCGGCTGCTCGGTGGGGCGGGGCGAGAGAGGCGCCGGGGAGCAACCCCAGCAGCGACAGCAGCAGCAGCCAGGGCGCCATGGCGAGGGCGAAGCCGGAGGCCCGGACGCACCGACGGACAGACGGGGACCAACCGACGGGGCGGAGCGGCCCGCGGCCAGAGGGGCCGGCGTCCCTCCCCCTGATCCGGGGCGGCGGGGAGCCGGCCAACGGCCGCGGGTCCCGGGCGCCTGCGCACTCGGTTATTTACGTGAGGCACGTGGGGCGCGCTGGCCGCAAGGCGGATTGGAGCCACAGCGGGGAGGGGAAAGGGAACGGGGAGGAGATGGGGAGGGGGAGGGGAGACGTAGGGTGGGGGGCGGGAGGAGGGGGTACAACGCGGCCTGGCAGCAGTTCTGTACGTAGACCCATGGCCCGCGCTGCAGTCTTGGAATAATCCTTTTTGGGCTTAGAGCTGTTGTTTGGGGAGAGGAACGGACGCTAGCCTGAGAATGAAAACAGTAACTAACATTTATTGCATGCTTATTGTATGTTACTCATTATATCCCATCTCCCTTTTATCGTCGTAGCAATCCGTGAAGTCGGTATTATCCTCATTTTATAATTGAGGAAATAGAAGCTTAGCGAGATTAAATGGTTTACTAAACACCCGGTAAGTGATAGAGCTGGACATGAACCTGGAGAGTTGGCTTTAGAACCTGGGTTCACGGCTCAGTTGCCCCTCTTTGAGGCCCCTCTGCCAATCAGCAAAATGGCAGGTAATCTCCCCTGGACTGGCAGTGCCTCAGGCCATTGTGAGGATCAAACACAAACATGCAAGCATTAGGTAACTACTAAAGGAAGGCGGGAGGTTGTCTGTGGTTCGTTCAAGCATTCACAGCTGTGTTCCAGGGCCTAGGAAGAGGATGCGTGAACAGATGCATTAGGCATAGTGCTGACTGCTTGGAGCTCCCACTCTAGTGGAGAGCCAGATGAGAAAGAGAAATTGTCCCACAAGGTGTTCCCAGCTAGGGAGAGAAGCAGGGAAGTGAGAGTTTAAGGGAATTGAGGAAATCCCAGAAGGGGATGGAGGGTGTGTGGGCTTGGAGAGTGTGAAGAACCAATATCAAAGGTCACCTGATCCAAATCTGACTCGTTACAGCAGCAGAGGTCTAAAAAGGTGAAGTGACTGTCCAGCTACTCAGAAATAAGTGCTGGAGCCAGACCAGGGCCAACTTTGAGCTCCTTCCTGGCTGTGGTCTGAGAGGGCGTGGCCCGAAGGATTCCAGCAGATACTTTTCTCTCCCAGTTATGCTGTTCCCAGTGTAAGCTCCCCGGGGGCTCCCCTTGTGTGTCTTACAGGAGACAGTCCCAGATCCTTAATGCGGCTTCCCGAGCCCCTCGAGGTTCCGTCTCGCCTGGGTCCTCACCCTGTGCCTTGCACTTGAAACCCCAGCCTCGATCTATTTGCATCTCCTCAGAAGTTCAAGGTCAGGCACACCTCGGAAGCTTCACACTGCTCTTCCCTCTGCCCAACACCCAGACATCTTTCAGTTCTCAGTTGAGAGGACACTTCCAACAGGAAGCCATCCTCGTTCCATCCCACTGCCCCCCTGGCCGGACTGGCTGCCACTGTCGCTGTACTCCCAGACGCCAAGCCCTGTGAACTTCCTTTCATGCTGGGCTGCAATTTCCTCTTCGCTTGTGGATGTCTTCCAGTTGGCCAGGAGCTTGTAAGGCCTGGGACCTTGTCCTGCTCACTGCTGTTTCCTCAGCACATAGTACAGTGCCGGACACAAAACCTGCGTAATAAATGTTTGTTGAATGAATTAGTGACTCCTTTGGCATGCCCTGGAGTGGGCATGACATCACCCGACTGTTGTTTAATGCATAGCCTCACTTTCTAGAAGGATGAATGGCGTTACTATGGCTAGAAGAATCTCGGAAACGCCTGCTATCGTTGACCCAGGCCTCCTACCTGTGTCTACAGAAGATCACATACCCACGCTCACACACACTTCATCTCCCGAGAGGTCTGAGGCTGAATGAATTTAAAATAGGGACTTCTAAGGCACCAGCAGAAGCCATGGGCTTTTCTTAGACTCAGGATAACAGAAATCCACATTGGCCTTTGTGGGAAACAGTCATCTTCCTCCAAGTTTGTTCCCTTGACACTGGAGCCACTTGACAAGTGTCTGGGGGGGAGGGGACTCATTTTCTCACCAGAGTGAGGCAAGAGAGCCTAATTATAATTAATAGAGTGGGTGGAGGTGAGGCATATTTTTTTAAGGAGCACATATGTTCCCTTGGGCAATTCTCACAACAACCTGGAAGGGAAATCTCACCGGGGAGGAAGCTAATGGGACCTCCTGAGAAGAAAAAGCTGAGTTTTCTTTGCTCCTTTTCCTCCTTCTCTTCATGCCAGAACCCACACCCCCACCTTACATATGCCTTAAAATGTGTCCTCCTCGTGAAGGTTGAGGAGTTCATGATTTCTTTGGAGTCTTCCAGCATGAGAGATAACAGCTAAGGAGTAACTGGGAGGGGCCATACGCTTCAAGACCCCTGACTCAGGGCCTGAATGAGTTAAGGAGGACACCTGAGCGCTTGTCCTCGCTCCATCAGTTCCTGGACGCCTGGTGGGAGGCGAGGACCAGATCACAAGCAAAGACGAGACTCATGCTCCTTTTTTCCTTTCCAAGCCTCCCCGGGCACTTCATCCGTATCTGCTTTTTATGTTCAGTAAACTCTGCTTTCGCCTGCTGCTGGCCCATGTTTGGTTTCCATCCCGCATGAAGCCAAGGACCCTCTTGGCTGGTCCTGCAGGAGACACCCCTCTGGGTCCTCGGACCCGGCCTGCCTGCATCGAAACCAGGGGCATGCCAACATTCAGAAGCTGAGGATGGAAGAGGGAGGCCACAGAGGACACTGGGAAGAAGACGACGTTGGACAAGAAGAGGATGTCAACAGAGTGGGAGAAGAGAGTGCATCTCAAGGAAAGGAAGTGGCCGGCTGCGTCGAATGCCACGGAAAAGGCATTATAACGAGGAGAGACACGTGACCTTTGGATTGGCTGACATGTAGGTCACCGGGGCCCTCACCAACGGCAGTGGGTTGAGGGGAGAATCTGAGAAATGTGGACATGGCTGGAGACAAGGCTCTCAGGAAGTTTTGCCACGGAGGAGAGTAGAGAAACGGGGTGGTAGCTAGCCAGGTAAGAGGCATCAGGCATCGGAAGAGTATTTTTTTTTTTTTAATTTTTTTTTCAACGTTTATTTATTTTTCGGACAGAGAGAGACAGAGCATGAACGGGGGAGGGGCAGAGAGAGAGGGAGACACAGAATCGGAAACAGGCTCCAGGCTCCGAGCCATCAGCCCAGAGCCCGACGCGGGGCTCGAACTCACGGACCGCGAGATCGTGACCTGGCTGAAGTCGGACGCTTAACCGACTGCGCCACCCAGGCGCCCCGGAAGAGTATTTTTTAAGATACGAGACACTCGAGCATGCTTATGGGTTGGTGTGAATGACCAAATGGAAAGGGGGATATTGATGATTTAGGAGAAAGAGGAGACAATTGCAGGAGCAAAGAGATCGGGAGGTGAGGGGTTGTATATTAGTTATCTGTCACTGTGTGAAACATGATCACAAAATGAATGGCCAGGCCTGCAGTCTCATGGGAGGCTGGCCTCGGGAGGAATCTGCTCGGAAGCTCAGCGGTTAATGGCAGCATTCGGTTCCTTGAGGACTGCCAGACTGAGGCCTCAGTTGTTTGCTGGCTGATGGCTATCAGCTGCCCCCAGTTTTTTCCTGTGTGGGCCTTCCCAACATGGCCACTTGCTTCCTCAAAGCCAGTAAGGGGCAGTAAAGATATTGCAATCTTGTATAATCACATACACATAATCTGGTGTCCGTCAACTCTGCGGCACTCTACTGGTTTTAGGAGGAAGTCACAGGTGCCCTCACACTCAAGGGAGGGGGGAGGGGAGAGCCTACACAAAGATGTGGACACCAGGAGGTGGGGATCATTGGGGTCACCTGACATCTGTTCTGGTGTTCCCCAGAAGAGCGCCCCACACATAAAAATATTAACAACAGTAAAAATGATAGCTCACATTTCGTGAGCACTAACTACGTGCTAGGCCCTCAGTGTTCTCAGCACGTATATGCATTAGCCCATTTAACCCACAACAACCCTATGAGACAGGTATGCTGCCACGGACTGATGGGGAAAACAAAGTCAAAAGAAAAAAATTAAATTTCCTTACAACTTACAGCCCATGGGGAAGTACTTGACACAGGCAGAGTGAACTTCCTCAAGAAGTTCAGCTACCTCTGGGGCACCTGGGTGGCTCAGTTGGTTAAATGTCTGACTCTTGATTTTGGCTTGAGTCATGATCTTGTGGTTTGTGAGTTACATACCCTTGTCGGGCTCCCGGCTGGCAGTGCAGAGACTGCTTGGGATTCTCTCCCTCTCTCTCTCTCTCTCTCTGCCCCACCCCCTCTTTGATAGCTTTTTGCTATCTGGTGTAACAAGATATTCCTGGCTCCAGGCATTTCTGGATCAAAGATTATGCACCTTTTACACTTAAATTTTGATGAAATCCAATTTAGCATATTTTTTCTTTTTTTTTTTTTTCAACGTTTATTTATTTTTGGGACAGAGAGAGACAGAGCATGAACGGGGGAGGGGCAGAGAGAGAGGGAGACACAGAATCGGAAACAGGCTCCAGGCTCCGAGCCATCAGCCCAGAGCCTGACGCGGGGCTCGAACTCCCGGACCGCGAGATCGTGACCTGGCTGAAGTCGGACGCTTAACCGACTGTGCCACCCAGGCGCCCCGCATATTTTTTCTTTTATAGATCATGCTTTTGGTGTCATATCTAAGAAAATTGTCCCAACCTGAAACTAATGTCACATAGTATGTCAATTATACTTCAGTAATAATTTACGAAAAGATAATCGTCCCTAAGATCAAAATTATTTACTGTTTTCTTTTTAGAAATTTCATAGTTTAAGCACTTATACTTAAGTTAGCTTTTCTATACTCCACAGTTTTGATTACAGCATGTCTGCAGTCTAGATTAGTTTTTTTTTTTAATTTTTGATGTTTATTTATTTTTGAGAGAGAGAGAGCATGTGAGCAGGGGAGGGGCAGAGAGAGAGGGAGACACAGAATCCAAAGCAGGCTCCAGGCTTTGAGCTGTCAGCACAGACCCTGATGTGGGGCTCAAAGTCATGAAATGTGAGATCATGACCTGAGGTAAAGTCAGACACTTAACAGACTGAGCCACCCAGGTGCCCCTATTTAGACACAGGAGAATGAAGTGTACGAAAAGAGCAAAACTACAGAGAGTAGAAACTGAAAGTCACTCTTGTATACATTGTTATTTACTCATCAAGAAATCTAGATTAAGGGTACCTGGGTGGCTCAGTTGGTTAGGGCTCCCGTCAAGATTTCAGGATTCATGGGTTCGAGCCCTGCATGGGGCTCCGTACTTGGAACCTGCTTGGGATTCTCTCTCTGCCCCTCCCCCAATCATTCTCATGCTCTCTCTCTCTCTCTCTCTCTCTCTCTCTCTCTCTCAAAATAAATAAACTTAAAAATTTTTTTTAAAAGCTCAGCTGCCTCAATGTTAACATGTTGCTGCAGGCAAAAAGCAACAGGCAACCTTAGCTTGACATTAGCCCAACCACCAGGATCCTGTAAAAAATTCCTTGGGAAACTTCCTTTATCTCTCTCTCCCCATATATGTCAGCGATCATCCTCCAAGCATATGGTGCACTGACACACATCTGAAGGGTCTCGTGACTAGAGTTTTACTAGGCAGTAGTAAATGACCTTTTCCCAACAACAGCTAGCCCTAACCCCCTCCCAACTTGAAGGTATAAAATCATCTACTCTCACCACCCCACTGCACCTCTTTCTGCTCACAGGTCCTGTCCCCATAGTTTAATAAAAACACCCTTTTGCACCGAAGACGTCTCAAGAATTCCTTCTTGACCGTTCATTCCTGAACCCACACATTTCACATCAGGAGGAAACTCAGGCAACAAGAGAATCCGTAACTTGCCCAAGTTGCAGAAATGGTAAATGGAAGCAGGGTTGGAAACCAGTCCTAAAACCAGTAAGGATTCTGCTTCTCACACCGGCCTCTGCAGACCCCTCAGGGCTATTGAAAGCATAAAGGGAGCATTTTTCCTCCAAGCAGGCGAAATGGACTAAGAAATGGACTAAGGGATCTGTCACTGGGAGGTACAGGGGGGGGGGGGGGGGAAGGCATTGACAATGCAAGGTCCCAGGTTCTGTTTCAGGAGGTCTAGGTAAGGAATTTGGAACATGTGGTCAATCTTAGGAGCACTCATGTTTGAAAAAGTATGCTTTTGTACACCAGTTTCTTTTATTTTTTTAAGATTTTATTCTTAATTTTTTTTTAATATTTATTTTTGAAAGACAGAGAGAGACAGAGCATGAGTGGGGGAGGGGCAGAGAGCGAGGGAGAGAGAGAATCTGAAGCAGGCTCTAGGCTCTGAGCTGTCAGCACAGAGCCCGATGCGGGGCTGGAACTCCCAAACCGCAAGATCACGACCTAAACTGAAGTTGGACACTTAACTGACTGAGCCGCCCTGGTGCCCCTAGAACGTAAATTTAAAATGAACTTCGTCCTTTGGGGCGCCTGGGTGGCTCAGTCGGTTAAGCGTCCGACTTCGGCCTAGGTCATGATGTTGGGGTCCTCCAGCGGTCGGTGAGTTTGAGCCCCCTGTCGGGCTCTGTGCTGACAGCAGGCCTGGAGCCTGCTTCAGATTGTCTCCCTCTCTCCCTCCCCC